TTTTTGTCCCCCCCCCCCCCCCAGGATAAATATATGACTTAGGAGAACTTACACAGCAATTATTCTGCACAGCTGTCAAGACATTTTACAGAAGATCTTTTGTAGATGGGGAGAGTGAAGTATTAAAAAGCAACCATTTTTTTTTTCCAGATTACAAACTATTTAAAGAACAAGATTGGACTAGAAATCGGTGCACATTTACATGGAATAGCTTTTGGCTTGTAACCAGGTCATCAAATTAGATGCATCATCACCCCAGGGTCTCATTATAGTCAATGGCAAAAGACCGTCTGAATAGCCCCTTGGAGCTGCCCATTAAGTATAAGTATCTACAGAGCCTACGTTTCTTTTTTAATGTCCTAATTAAAAATTTAAGGTTAGGTAGAATGAGTCTTGGTAATCCTGCACTGTGGGTACCTTTCAGCTCCAACTTGTGTCCCAACCACATATTCCAGCTTGGAAGTAAAGCCAGTTACACACCTCCTCCTGCTCCCCACCCAGCATATCTCCGTGAAACGAAAACTAGATGGAGACCACAGTAGGTTTTCTGTGGTATTCTGCCAGGAATAGCATAGCTATTTCCAGACATGCATGCTCTAAAGTCTCCAAGCTAAGGACATTAATCTGCGTGAGGCTGTAACGGCTGCGAGCGGAGCCACCAGGCCAACAGAAAAGCAGGTGCTCGTACTTGTGTTTGCATTTGGGAGCCTTAAGGAAGGCAAGGGCTGCACTCACAACATGGTCATGATGGAAGTTTGGAAACTGTTCGTCTAAAAGCAAAGGCTTAAGTCAATGCTGTTTCTTCATCACTGTTTTTTCTTAGCAGACAAAAAAAAGCCACATTTTTGTTCATCCAAATGAATAAAGACTCTAAAAATCACTCTTTTCAACTTTGGTTTGCATTCGTGAGTGGGATCCCATAGTCAAAATGTTTTCACTGTCATTTTATCATATTGTCTGACTTATATTTGATTTCACCATTAATTCCCTTTCAAAAGATACTTCCTTCTGCATCCTCCAGTTAAATATAAGTTGCTGGTCCCATGTAGATTTGAACAGCATTTAAACAGAGCTATTCTCTAGTTTGCTACTATGATTCCCGTGCTATTTGACAGCATAACTCTAAATCTATTTACTTGGATGGAGGATTTAAAATTCAGTGTTCCATTTCCTGTTATGACTGCTACATCCTAAATCATTAGATTAAAAAAAAATTGCCACCGTCACTGCCGTCTGTAGCAATTCTGTAAATCTATGAAACAGTTTTATTGCAAGTGCACAAATAAGTAGTGTTCCAATACAAGCTGAATGAAGACTTTGCTCGAGCTAATCCTGCTTGCCTTTTTTTTTAGTAAAAAACTTGGGGAAATACTGTTTGGGGACAATCTTTACAATGAATATATGTCTTTAAATATTTGGTCCCCGACTTGAACAAATCAAATTTTCATGTAGCATTAGTAAAAGGTAGCAAAGTACTGCCTCCCCAACTTTAGAAAAGTGAAGAACTGATCATATATAGTAAGAAGAACTACTAGTGGGAAGATGTTAGTAGGAGCCACATCTGTATGGGACCCTGTCTCCTGAAAGCAGAACACATTCCACTAAAAAGCATGTCTGCTCCTGTGAGACACCTTCTCTATCAGTGAGTTACTACTCCACTATTTTTTCTGCCAAGACCGTTAAGAAGCTGGAAGAACCTGGGAGTCTTAGTTTTTAAAAGAAAATGACTGTCTTTTCCACTCTCTTTCACAGACAGGGATGAAAGAAGTACTATTTAAGCTAAAAGGATGATGCTGGCACAAGAACGCACAATGCGTGTGGGCATAAATCGGTGACAGATACATTTGTGATGAACATTAGAAAGTGTTTAAGCATAAGAGAAGTGACATCCTGGAACAGGCGTACGGAGAAGGACATCCAAAAAACCACTCTAGTGCAGGAACAGGCTTTACAATATTAGTAGCACAGCATGCTATGAGACCATGACTGCAGTTTTTAGCAATTAAGCAAATAAGTAATACGAAAGCTTTGGCTGACACCTCACCGTTTAGATTTTTTAGGTTTCTAATACTGGAGCTGTTACACATTTTCATATTACAAACATGTTTGACTGCTTCTGGTAGCTTGAAGAATAGCTGGTCTCCAACGGTGGCAATTACCTGGCAATACTCAGAGCTGTAAACTACATTCCCTGACCAGTCATACTATCAGAGATCAAAGTAAAACATCATTAAGCTGAACAATTCACTGATCAATTAAAAAAGTGAAGGCGTTTTAACATAATAGCAGTGACCTTAGCCCACTGAGAGTCTTTGACAAGTGCCACTGAGATGTTGGAGAAATTATGCATTATGTGGATGGAAAGTTATATCTCAGTAAGGAATATCATCATCTCGAGGCATTACTATATTGTAAAAAAGGACTTTTATTCTGCACTTCTGCATTCACAGATCTTCACAGGGAACGTGAAATAAAGAAGCAGTATGAAATTACTACTTAATATCTCAGTATTAAGCATTGCTATGTGAAAATAATGGCACAGGCAGGTGCCAGTGAATTTTTAGTTATCATTTAGAAGCAGATCTTTCATACTGTAGGTAGAGGTTTGGTAGGTCAGCAGAGTAAAAGAAAACATCCCGTCTTAATATAAACCTTCAGTTTGGAAAATAATTTTTATTGTCCTTTTGCAGGTGTAAGGAGGGTGCCTGCAGAAGCGGGGCTGGAACAAACGCAGCCCGCTCTCGGCTGTGAGGACCTCCTCAAGGGGGTCAGCTGGGTATGACGCCCGCCCCTGGCTGCACAGTCCTACCCTCAGTAGAATCTTCATCTTGTACTTCTACAGTATGCCAGAGAGGTAAGGTTTACAGGGAGGGATAGGCTGTCAGCCTACGTGATGAAGTTGGCAGGAACAGGGAAGTTTTGGGGCACAAAGTCTTTTCTAAAGCTTGGTGAGAAGTCACACCGTCCAAACCAAAGGAGGACTGATCTCCAGCACTTCTCATTTAATATCATAGAAATGAATTAAAACACTTGAGAGAAAAAAGTTATCGGCGCCTGAAAAGCAAGATGTAGTAAGGCCTAAAGATGGTGTCTCTATTGAGTCTGCGATGCTCGGAGCTTAACAGTCACAAATGATTTTCCATAGGCCCATGGTCTGGGTCCTGACTTCTTAACACAAGCCTGCTTTAAGGCGGCACTGGAGCAGCTCTGCAGCCCGGGCCAACCCGCACCTTTGTGCTCTCGCTCTGTCTGTTTT